TCCTCAAACCGGGTTTATTTATCTTTATTGCCATGTACTTGCTGTAGATAATTCACGATAGCGTAACGAATAATTTATTTTAAAACTGGATCACTGGAGCTGTAATTTAAAAAAAGAAAAAAAAAGAATGATTAAAATACAATTTTCTAGATCGTCAAAACTTAAAATTCCATGAGTAATGAAATGCTTGCCTGCTGGTGAAGACTGGTTGATTACAATTGGGTATCTAGTGTTTCGCTTGTTGCTTTCAAGGTGACTCGCTTGTCTTAGACTTTGTTGTTTTTTTTTCCCCAGTCTATTCTTCTGCTGGCACTTGACGCGTCTTTTATCTTTTACTCACTATCCACAGCGTACAATTTAATTACACTGTGCACAAATAACTCCCTTGGTTATTGCTTCGCAGTTTTGAAACGCAACATCGATCTTATTTTACCGTATAGGGGGAGCATCATTTATTAATCAGTCTTTATTGAATGGTTTGGTTTTCTTAAAATGGTTTCGTTTAAAATATTTAAAATGGCTACATACAAATGTTTATCCCGCTTCTCAGATTAATATACTTGACTTTAATAATAATCTTTTAATCATCATCATCATCATTTCCAGTTCGTGCTCAAGACACATGGGGCGGATGAAGTAGAGTTCATCTGCCTCAGATACCTCGGCATATGAAGGGATAGTGTGGTCAGCACTATGCCCAGCCGCCTTTGTTTCCCTAACGTGAGTTATGTACCCATCAGAGCTGGGTGGACTCAGCGACGTTTCACTGATTTGAACCCGGATTCAAACTCGAATCTTTGAATACATGTCAAATTACATTAATGTGTACTCATTTTAAATTATATGAAGTAATCCGTCGCTATATGTATGAGCGTGGTTGCCAGGTAAGCGACATTAATAAAGGTGTACATAAGTACTGAGTGCAGATATCTTTTAATCACAGCACCAGTTTTTTTGGTGCTGTCGCAATTCGTTAAAACATTATTACACTGTTTGAAGCGATTTAGCTTTGCGAGCAGTGATTTTTTTCAACTGATAAAATCACCGGACATAACTTGATTATAATTTCGAAACTTCGTTTAGCTAAAAAACAAAAAAAGGTGCGATAATTGGTTGCTTTATGCTAATTGTCGCTACTTCTAAACCGTTTACCTGTTAAATTTTCCCAGGAAGGCGTGGAGGTGCCTAGTTGTACCTGGGCACCAGTCACCTGTCCACAGCTGATACTCTTCAAATAGAAATGTTTCAGGTGCTCGTGGTTTAGGATTAGGGTTGAGATCATATTTTCAGTTGATGAGGTCGAGTGTTGATTTAAAAAAAAATGCTATGACGTCATTTGCTTGAATTTTTACAAACTCCTACACAGCGTGTGTTTACTAGTGTACGAATTTCTGCGGGTTTTTGTACTCAGATGCCCAATTTTCAAACAGTTTATTTTTTAAAGAGCAGCATGCATTACCTGTGTTGCTATTAATATTTTGGTCATTAAAACTACAGTAGCCATTATATACGCAAACGTTATACGCTGTAGCTCTACTATAAAGATTGGATTTACAGTGCGGCTTAAAATGCTGAATCCGAGTGAAACATTGACATCTAACGACAGGATACAGTCAACGCCACTAAGAAGCACTTAAGTCTAATGACCTTCACTAAGGGGCGCTCTTTAGTTTTTTTATCTGTACATTTTGACGTCGAAGTGTGTATGTCTATTTCACAAACCCCGAGCTGATTAACACAGCATTTTTTTAGTCTATGCAATCGATCTTTCAAATGATATTTATTCAGTTTAGGCTTGTACTCTAGCTTGAGCTTTCTTGGCAGACTTAGAAAGTAATATGGTTTTGTAGTTGTTTAAAACGGGAGCTTGATGGCGCCGAAATCACTTTATTTTATGGCTAAGCGGTTTCGTTTTTTTTTTACCCCGACTAAATGCGGCGTGGTGGCGATCGTGCCTCGCATCTGTAGCAGTGACGTACGCAGTCGACACGTAGCAACCAACACCCGTGCGGGTCTCCTACACAACGTGCTTCTATTTCTATCTGTAGCTGTAAGCACTGTTGTTGTATTCAACACTCTTAATTTCTAACAAATATATACATCGCTATGTAGATAAAAATAAGCTAACCATTTGAAAAAAAACACGTGATTTTAATGATCAACAGAATGACGTTTATAGTGGGGTTCTCGTGTGTGTCGAATCTCACATTTAAAAAAATGTTTTGTAATTAAAAGGTTTATTATGTTTTAACATACATATTATGCCCCGAAAAAATAAATCACAGCTCCTCTGCGTTCTGTATGGAAAAACGTGTGCACTGATCCTTTCCTCACCCGGGCCATAGGAACTAATTAATTAGCAGCTCTGGTATAAAGAATACTGTTTACCTCCAAGCTTTTGGCTAATTCTGTTATCGATAAGTCAATGCTATTTAGGGCCGTTATCAGTTTTTTGTCAGCCTCTCCAACAGGTGTGAGTCAATACCGTGTATAATACAGTGGCTATATCTCAGCTACCCCCGGCATCGTCAGATACAAGACAAATACTTTCGACCTGGCTCCTCTCAATCCCTTATTCATCTTGTCCCCATTTTCTTCGCACGACGTGTTATCGTGTGGATGGGCGTAAGACTAAACATGAACAAATAGACTGCATTACGGAGTGTCGTCTGTTGGTTTAGAGAGAGAGGAAGGAAGTTGGAAGCTCTATAGTGTGAAAGTAGTCGATTATTGACTGGTTTTTATATTCCTTATATATCCCAATGTATTTTTTTTTGGTAATACTCGATATTCTTGATTTGTAGGGCTAAGTACATGTAAGACCGAGTAAAGGATTATATCGTTGTTTGTGTGCGTCAGCGTGTCGTAGATAAAACCAGGCATTGAACGTGTTTTGTCTCTTCTCATCTCAAGGACTTTGCCTCTTTTGAAATGCGCTGAGTCTGTTATTACCATCCAGTAGTTAATGCAAACATTTTCTTCTGCCGTGGCCCCGGGTGCTTTGTCGAGACTCAATTTGAAACATAACCGAGGGCGTTGTTCATTTTGTTCATGGCTGAAATAAGCCTATGTCTTAACTCGTGGACAGTTGACAGATCGATCTGGAATGTTCACGTTGATCGAATGTTGACAGATCAACTTTGATTGTTCATATAGCTGGAGTGGCTTGATAAAACCCATTTTGATTGCTCATATAAATGTAATTGTGGGGGGGGGGGGGGATGTGAGACCATGGCCTACTACAACTGTTCTTTGGGTAGAGAGCAGTACTGTCAGTTAGAGAAGCACTTTATCACAAGACCTGGTGAGTCTGCTATTGGAACATGACACCATCATATACCTCATTAATGAAATGTGTAACTTTTGATATTTACTATTTTTTTGTGTTCAACTTATATGTTGAACTTTAATTAACACCAGTCCTGTCAAGATGGTCTAATGATGACATTTCAATTAATAGTTCTTGCTAAATAGGTGTGATATAGATGTGTCCTGGTGTAAATAAATAAACAACATGGTAGTTTGTAGTTCTCATAACATAGCACACAGTAGCTGTTTCATTTAGTCCATAGTCACATCACCTGCTGAGTGTAATTTTTAGCTCATTTTTACTATTTTTAACCATATTTTGTATTAGTAAAAAAACAGACAGAATATTTGTATTGATTTATTTCCATTAACTAATAGGTTTCCTAATTAAGGTTTCCTAATTAATTGGCTAAAAAGGAAGTTTTACAAATACTACCATACAATTTCATCTGATCAGTGCTTTTGTTGAGTTATTGGAGCTCTAGGCTGTTACCGTTTATGTTCTGATGTGGAGAGCCCAGTCTCTATTTAAATTACCTAAATATACAGTAATAGGTAGGTTAATGTTTTGGTGTATTTATGGATTCATTTCCCCTTAGTGTTCCTTACTCTCCTAACTTTTCTTACTTTTTATTTTATTAATGTTCCTTACTCAGTAACTACAAAACTGACAGTTAATGAAGGAATACAGTTTTCTACACAGCTATTTTTAATTTTAACAATTAAAGTATAGTTAATCCATTAGGGATTCTGTTCAAGCTTTTGTTGCATGATAAAACAGTACAGACAGCAGCTGTTACACAGTGGTGTGTGTTACTGGGGAAAACTAATTTTTCTCTCTGTAGCCTTATAAAAATGTGATTTCCAGGCATGCAATTCTAGGCAGGAGTAAGCAAAAAATTTGGCTTGCAAAGTTTTTGTATGTGTACACACAAGTTGTGTCCCATCATTCTAATGCAACCCTGTGCTCTGTCACCTACTTACAGTGGCTGTCTATTCAAATTATTACTACACTACTGTCCTGTGACATCCTTCTTGTTCACTCAGCATAAACATTCCTACTCTTTTCAATTTCCTGGTTCTCTTTTTTTTTTTTAAATTCTTTTGGATTTGAATAAGAGATTTGTTGCATAGCATGCAATCAAGCCCTTTGCACAAAATAAGATTTTTTTTCTTAAGGTTTACAAATGCAACCTAATTAGATTAGGGGATTTATAGATGTAAATTGTGTGTTTTGCAAGTTGTGCTTGATGTAACATGATTAAGTACTCCTCCACCTCCTCCCCCCCTTACCACAATGTTCTAGGCACAAGTGATGTTTATCTTTGCAAGTTGGGATGCTTGCAGTTCCACTTGGCCTTTAGAAGAGTTCTACACTGCTAGTAAACTCATTAAAGTTACCACCCTCCTTAAAGTCCTATTTTAAACCCAGTCAAAATAAATTCTCCAGACTAATGATATGCAAATAGTCATTTTTTTAAAAGTTGTTGGGTTTTTTTTTAAATTATTCAGATTAGCCTAATTCTTCTGTTTGTTACAGTATTTTGTTCAGACAAAATATGATTAACGGAAAGTTGTTTAGTTTTTCCCAATAGTTTGATATAGGTTATTGTTTTTCATTGAAATAAATAATAATAAAATGCATTGAAAACACAAGAAACTAATAATTTAAAAACTAATTTCAGATCAGACGGTTTCAGAAGTTAGAGACAGACGAAGAGAGGATAAAAGAAGGCAGGCAAATCTATGATACTTTTATCATGAAGGAATTATTATCTCAATCACATGTAAGTACACTGTGTAGTCTGCTTGAAGATAATACTTCCCTCATTCAGGCTACTTTACTAAAATATAAACAACTTCTGGTATATCTAGTAGTTGATTGCTTATTTGGTATCCCAGTCAGACCATTGTTTCATTCATGATGCTGTTTTACATTTGGTGGGAGTCATGAGTCAATATTACTAACCAGTAGGCCTACTTGCCATAAGTTAGTGAAAGTGAAGAACAGCTTGGAATAGTCAAGTAGTTCTATTAGTTTCTAAAAAAAATGTAACAACTGTTTAAGATAAGTAAAGGTGGCTGTTAATAGAGATAACTTGGTCTGTGCATTGTTTTTTGTAAACTGTTTGATAAAATATATCAGAGCTAGGTGGCCCCAACACATTGTATAAGTCTCAATAAACCTAGGCTTAAGACATGGCCACATATCCATCTTACTTGCAGTGGTTGCAGAACCATGTGCTATATTTAACAAAATATATCAGAGCTAATTGGATCCAATGGGGGAAGGTGTGGCCCAGAGGTAGAGCTAGACTGCTAACCCAAAAGTCTTGAGTTTGAATCCAGTTTCAAGTCAGTATAATGTCCCACCCAGCTCTGTTGAGTGCTTAACTCATGTTAGGGGTAGTAAAGGCAGTTGGGAATAGTGCTGTCCACACACTATCCCTTTATATACTGAGGTCACCAAAACAGGTCCCACGTAACTGTAAGGTTCAAAATATGAACTTTACTTTTTTAATTAAATCCAACAAATTGTATGGTGCCAACATAGACCTTGGCTTAAGACATCTTCTCTTTAACATCTTATTGCAAAAATTATTATTGAAATTTGTTTTTATGCAAGTTTCATTATTTAAGTTAACAAAATATCTTTAATGTTATCTTTAGTAGTTTTCTGTGGAAAGTCTTTGTGCTAGAGAGAAAGATAGTAGTAAGAAAAGAGATTATTACCCCTTGGTTTTCTTAAAGGAACTCTTCTAGAGTAAAATAAACAAAGCACAATGTTTCTGTCAAACTTGAGAAGCAGACTTACACCACCTTTTTAGAACAACTTAATATGGTTTATCGATGATTCTTGAGTTAGTTTTATTAAGTGATTTTTACAAAAAGTTAAACAAAACAAAGTTAGTGAGTGTATGTGTATGTGTTTTATATAAAAGTGCATTATTCTCTCAACCAGACATACCCAAAGTCAGCAGTAGAACATGTACAAGAAGCACTCACACTAGCACAAAAGACACGCAAGCTGGATGCGGAAATATTTGCGGTAAACTGACATTTATCTTTGCTATTGCTTTATGTATAAAAAATTTTGTATTTCTCGACTATATCTGTATGTCAGTGTGTGTTGTATTTGTTTGAACCTTAAACATATGCTCTTTGAAGTTTGTAAGGCCCGTCGTGTGTAAATCACTGGAAGAGCGACTTGGCAAGGAGGTTTTTGAATAAATTACCAGTTAAAATACATATTCATTCCTTAGGATTCTTTGAAGACTGAGTGCCTGCATTTGAATCAGTTGAGGAGAGACCAGGTCATATAGATTACAAAGTATACATTACACTATAAAGATGCTAAAGCTGTAAATTCCAAGTTTAGGGTTTTGGAAGCGCTGGTGTAACTATAATCTTATCTCATTGCCATTAGGTCTCAATCTCATTTAAATACAAAAACAGAGCTATGGTTTTTCCATGTTCTCCATTGGGTATAAAGTACTATAGAATTACAAGAGGGGGGAGGAAGGTTGTGTGCTATAAAATCAATCATGAAAATAATACCTGTCTCAAGGCTGAATACAAAAGAAACAACAGTCCCCTGCCTTTGATTGAAATGTATGACATTAATGCTTGTCATGATCCCTAGTAGTATTAATATTTTATTGTGTACTGAAAGGAGATTGATGATGTTTTTAAAAATATTTTACAGATTTGAACAAATCTTTAATAAAAAATAGTCTGAGGTTTTTAATGTATTACTTTGTTTGTGTAGTACAAAATGTTGGGATTTTAAAAAATAAAATATTATTAGAAAAGGCATTGATTGTTTATAAAAATCCACATTTAATAATGAACATTGTTAGAAACTTTTTTTTTTGTTGAGGTAAATAAATTTTTAAATTTTGAAACAATTTTTTTTTACCAATGTGTAGTGGAAAATGTGTTAACATTATTGAAAGTATATTCAGAAATATTGAACAGTGCTGGTAAATAATACAAGTGAAAAGTTACTTCTCTTTTATTACTGCTACAATATAAAAAGTGCTGTCATGACACTGTGTTTAGAAAATTGATCAGACTTTCAAAGTTGACATTTATCATTTTTGAATTGCTTGCTTTCAAAGCCTTCACTGGCTTTAAAATGGAAATTATAAATATGAAAGTAGCTAGTAATAAATAATTTTCTGGTGTATTATTTGCTTTATTTTGTAAAAAAAACTTGCAATTGTATTTATATTTTCTAGTTAGCGTTTATAAAATATCAATGCTGGCGTATAAAGAAGTCTAATGGAATTTAAGATATAATAAAAGACTGTTCCAATAGTTTTTCTCTAAGCCTTATTTAAGTTTAAAAAAATCTCATTTCCTCCTTGTATGCATGATTAAGTTGAAACAATATTTTATGTTTTAATGTATGAAAATGTTTTCTGTTTCAGCCCTATATAAATGAAATCTGCAACTCATTGAGGGGCCATATATTTGAAAAATTTATAGAAAGGTAACACATGGTGCATACTACTTAAATATTAGATTTCTTTTGATACCTTATCATCAGCATAAAATTATATTAGGTCTCAAACTTTTTAAGTTCCTAAGTAGTTTTTCATGATTTTTAAAAAAGCCCTAGCCAAATGCATTTGAACAGAAAATGGCAGTTTCAACCTTTCAAAAGTAATAGTTAAATTAATTTAAGTTAAACTTGTTTCAATGAAATGGGTATCTCTAGTCAACAAATGTATTGAGAAACATTCAATGAATAAAAAACACATTAAAAGTTTTCTTTTCTTTAGTAAATGATGTGTTGCTAGCTGTATTGTTAAGAAAAAGTCTTATTCTGCTCACTGCACCATACAGATTGTTGAACAAACATGGAAGCAGGATTCAGCTATTTTCTTGTTTAAAATGTTTGGCTATTAACACACAATAGTAAAATGTTAAATGCTTTTGGCAAAGTGTCTGCCTGGGGCTAATAGACAGTTAATTGCTTGTTTATTGATCTTTTTATCTTCAAAGAGTAGGGGGCTATTGGGAAATGCAGTTGTAAAGTAATTTTTAACAGATTTCAAGTTTTCATTATGAAATAATAATTAATATTGAGTTTTTCATTTTGATTCATCTTTTCTTAGATGCAAAGCTTTTGTTCTTTTGTAAATAAGAGCTTATATTATTTCTTTTTTTCAGCGAAAAGTACACCAGATTTTGTCAATGGAAGAATTTAGAATTAAATATTAATGTAAGTAAAAGTTTATAAAGTAGAAACATATCTGTATTGAAATTAGTATATAAAATATCTTACTGGAAGGATTACAATTGTTTAGGGGTTGCAGCTCTTTTACTGTATTATCTTTTAGATTGCATTGAAACTCTTTATAAGTTTCCTCCAGATTTGTATCAGAAAAAGCAGGGGTTTGGGTTTAAAAAAAATTCAAATTCTTCCTGTGTGTGAATTGCAATAACTATTACAAAAGTTCTTAATAAAGTTTCTGTTAAGTATTTTGAATTTGATGGTACATTAATCTGTCAGAAATGCTTAAGAGTTCATTTAAGCTACATGTTAGTTGATCATTGATGCATCCTATCCACAGTTAACAATGAATGACTTTAGTGTACATAGGATCATCGGCAGGGGTGGTTTTGGGGAGGTGTACGGCTGCAGGAAAGCAGACACAGGCAAAATGTGAGTACTACAACGTGTTGTTCTTAACATATTAGCTGCTACTTTTAACTTGATAGGATACTTGTTTCAATTACCTTTCAGACTTGGTGAGATTTACTTGTCAAATGTGAGAATAAGTAGCTTGACATAATAAATTTAAAGAAAATGAACCAAATGATCAAATCTGTGTAGAATATTATTCACTTTTAAAACACAACACAATAAAAATGTTTTTTCAATAGTCATGTTTTTTTCATAGTACTATGTAATTAGGATGCTGTACTTGGAGGACACTTTAAATTTTAAATCAATAACAATGGAAACAGATTTGAATAATGTTAGTCTAGTTGTATCGTTTTAATTATATTCTTATAACTGTTTTTATTCTTAACTGTTTATTAGGTTCTGTAATTTTATAAAATATTTTTAAAATCATTTTTGTTTATACTTAGAAGAGGCAGTGTTATCAGTAGTGTTCTTTGCAGAACTGTATGAGTTATTGCAGAAATGTATTACTTATAGCAGAACTGCATCACTTATTGTAAAACTATATTACTTACAGGGCTGGTAAGTAGGTCACCAACCAGTTCTATGGCTCAATAAAACCTGCATGAGACATAGAACTGGTTGGTGACCAACTTACCAGCCCAATAGCAGAACTGCATCACTTATTGTAGAACTGTATTACTTATAGCAGAACTGCATCACTTATAGTTATAGCATAACTGTATTATCCCAAATTGGAACAAGGTTATTTTTAAAAAAAATTTAAGCTGTAACTGAAAAGAAAACAAATCGCTATAAATTTTCAGGTATGCAATGAAGTGTTTAGACAAAAAGCGTATCAAGATGAAGGGAGGTGAAACACTTGCACTCAATGAGAGGATTATGCTGTCTCTAGTCAGTACAGGGGTAAGTGGGTTTGTTTATTCTTTTTGTTTTTAAACACTCATGTATTGTCATTTTTTTTGTTACATTCAATCAATTATTGTTACATTTTTATTTTATTATTTTTTATTACAAATCCCTTAACTTTGAAGCTTTTATTTAAACTTATGCATGTTAACTAGAAAATAAAACTTCAATTAGAACAAATTTTGTAGGGTAATTTTTTTTACTGTTGTGGTATGTGTTACACTTGATAAAATATATAAAAATCTAGAATATGTCATAATATTTAAACAAGTTAAATTCACATGTTCAGTCCTACATGTGTTGTCCAGTCCTACATGTGTTGTCCATGTGGCAAAACCTTATTCTAAATTAAAACTTAAATATGCCCCTTTTTTATTTTTTTTTGCTGTGCCAGCGTTCTGCCGTGTCTTATGTTTGAAGTTAAAAATTAGCTTATGCACAGCACCTAATGGGACCTCTGCTGTGTTGTTGTCGTAACTGAATTAATCATATGGTCTGGATGCCTGGGTTCTCAGGATGCCTCCCTCACATTTTTATCATGGTCAAAATATTTCTTTTATAGTTTGTATTTTTTTTTTTGTATTGTTTCTTAAGTTTTTTCTCTTTATTTTCATTTTGTTGCATTACATTTTTTAAATAATCTTTGATTCAACTTTCTTTTTTTAAAACTTCTTATTTTTTTTAACTTTGTTGTAAAAGTGCTTTTTAAATTAGTAATGAGGACATGCTAGGTCGCAGTGACCCTAGGCTCCTAACGTTTATTTTAGCACAATCCTAACAAATAGCCTAACATTAAAATCAACCAAATTTTTTAATACAGTTCTATAGCAGTTAGATTTAGTTAACTTAATCAGAAAGACTAACACATCAATATCATTTAGATAAACAGTAACCTATTGCTTAGATTAAGACAACCCTCTTGTTTAGATTAAGGCAAAACTATTGAGATTAAGAAAAACAGCCCTTGCAATTAGACAAGACAACTCTAACATATAGATTTAGATTAATGCAAGCCTAGATTCCTGTAAGCTTACATTTATTGCAGCTTACCAGCCCAGGTCCTCTTGAACAGCTTCTCCCCATTTGCTTACAAAACCAATGAGTTGCCTTATCCATTATGAAAATATTTTCAAGGGGTTAGTGATACACAGTGTAGGGTTATATTCACCAGTTGATAAGATATTGGTTACATCAAGTGAATCAGAGTAACAAATACAGACATGATTATTTTCGTTTACCTCTTCTTTGACATTGTGCAATGCACAGTGTGTTGTGCATTGAAGCAAGGAATCTCCATCAATACATAGGCTGATATCTGTAGTTAGATCTAAATAAAACATGAAACATCTAGTGATGAAACCAGACTAGATAAGCTGTTGGCTGATATCTGTAGTTAGATCTGTTAGCATCACAGCTGAATACTACAACATGAAACATCTAGTGATGAAAACAGGCTAGATAAGCTGTTGGATGATATCTGTAGTTAGATCTAAATAAAACATGAAACATCTAGTGATGAAACCTATCTAGATAAGCTGTTGGCTGATATCTGTAGTTAGATCTGTTAGCATCACTTCTGAATACAACAACATGAAGCATCTAGTGATGAAACCAGACTAGATAAGCTGTTGGCTGATATCTGTAGTTAGATCTGAATACAACAACATGAAACATCTAGTGATGAAACCAGGCTAGATAAGCTGTTGGATGATATCTGTAGTTAGATCTGTTAGCATCACAGCTGAATACAACAACATGAAACATCTAGTGATGAAACCAGACTAGATAAGCTGTTGGCTGATATCTGTAGTTAGATCTGTTAGCATCACAGCTGAATACAACAACATGAAACATCTAGTGATGAAACCAGACTAGATAAGCTGTTGGCTGATATCTGTAGTTAGATCTGTTAGCATCACAGCTGAATACTACAACATGAAACATCTAGTGATGAAACCAGACTAGATAAGCTGTTGGATGATATCTGTAGTTAGATATGTTAGCATCACAGCTGAATACTACAACATGAAACATCTAGTGATGAAACCAGACTAGATAAGCTGTTGGATGATATCTGTAGTTAGATATGTTAGCATCACAGCTGAATACTACAACATGAAACATCTAGTGATGAAACCAGACTAGATAAGCTGTTGGATGATATCTGTAGTTAGATCTGTTAGCATCACAGCTGAATACAACAACATGAAACATCTAGTGATGAAACCAGACTAGATAAGCTGTTGGCTGATATCTGTAGTTAGATCTGTTAGCATCACAGCTGAATAAAACAAAATACCCTGCTGGGAGCGAATTGCTGGGGACAGTGTATTGATTGGGTCGATACCACTGTCATTGTTGTTTTACTAATTTATTTCTTCAACTTTTTGTTGGAGAAACTAGTCGTGAGGTCATAAACTGGCGACATAGGTAGTAGGCCTAGAATAGAATGGATGTATAATGTAAGCACGAAGTCATTGTGCATTAGCCGCTTTGTTGTTGATTTTTTTCGTTTTGTTTTAAAATCAAGTTCAGTTTTCTCGATGATTATTAAGGTGTGCTGATACTTGGTTGTTAAGGATCTATTTTCACCTAGGATTAATACTGTGATTCAATTTGTTTATGTAGAATTTTAAATAAACGCCATTAATCCAACACTCAGAAAAAGGCTACTTATTTGAACGTTTAAAAGTCAAATCCGTTACTTGTACAGAACAGTTCAAACACACGAGTTTTATCACCTTTATTACACGCACACAAAAAGCGTTATCTCCCTAAAACATTTAAACGGAAAACGATTCCAAGCACTTTACATTAAAAAAAAAATGAAAGTGCAACGAACAGCCCGTGCAGTATGTTCTCCATCTTGAAAACTCCTTTCTTTAAAGACCTGTTACAACGAATTCGTCTTTCCGTCTGGTTGGTTGGTTATCCATCACCTTTTCCCGGATTTTACAAGTAACCCATCCTTTTTTCCCCCTCCATCCTTCCCCGGTCCGAAGACGCCCGTTACGTAATGTCTAGGAAAGAAATAGCTTGGCCGAATGTCATCCGAGGTATTGGTTCTAGGGGACAAAGTCTCTCCTCCCTCTCCTCCCCGGCCCCATCGATTCGCCGTGTCTCATCATTACGTCTTTATTGGGAGAACTCATAGCACAGGTTTGTACTGGCGACGAGCAACATCGTTATCTTCTTATATGACTACCCCCCTCCTCCGCTGTCCTCCTGGTATTTCCACCTCTTCAGAACGTGTGACAAAGTTTAATAGTTGCCCCTCCGTGCTTAATGTTACATATCAGATTCTCATTCCACCAGGGCCATTACCTCTCGTGGAAGGCCAGTGTAATACACTCCATTGCCTGGTCGTTTGTAGAGATTACCTTCTTCAAATGTTCGATAATCGATGAGGCCACTCTGGGAAATATTGATTGCTTTTAAATGTACTCTGTATACGATGGCCATTAAAAATGTCGTACATTATTCAATGTTTTTTTTTATACAGAAGCATAGAGTAAATAACATTTATTACTAGTATTATTATATGTATATTTAAACAGTAATGTGATTCGGCTCAGCGGGGTGTTCTTTATTATGCTATTAGCGCAATAGCATTGCTCATATTTTCTGTTTAAATGATATCATATTCTGGTTTGAGATTTGTTATATGTGCGCATGTTAAAGTGAAATCGTGCATGTATTTTAACTCTGGTATTACAGTACGGCTTGACCTTTTCTCTTTCACTTCCTTGCTCTAGATCAGTGGTTCCCAACCTTTTTCGAGTGGCGACCCCCTTTTATAAAAAGTAAGTGACCCGCGACCCCCATAGAATTAAAAAGCCGAAATTACTATGGAAATTAATAAGCATTAAAATAAGATTTTCTAGTAGACTTTCAATATGAACTACTCTTGATAACTGTTTTAATAGCATGAGTAAAATTGCATACTATTCACTAAACCTTCGTGGTTAACTTTTTAATTAAAAAATTTTTTTGTTAACGCCAACCTATGTCATTATAATTATCTTAATTTTGTTTTTAATCGAAGAATAGTGTTGAAAATATATTATCGAAAAGTCAATCAATTTTACGTTTGGGTATGAATGGTGAATACTACACCAAAATTGTGTCTGCAGTTTTTCATCTTACTCGGAATCATTCTGCAAATCAAAGAATTCATCTTGTAATTCATCGGGAATGCTGGCAACATCAAGGGAAGAAGAGAATGAGTAATGCATAAATGCAGATTCTTCTTTTTTTCAGCTCAGAGAAATAGTGTTTTCAAGAGATTCAAGATGCCCAGAAATCGCTTCTTTCAAAATTTTAATTATCTCACAATCAGATTCATCTACCACACCGCAGTTTCTAAAATTTACAATATTTCCAAGATTTATTTTCTTTACCGATTTTGCAGTTTAGATGAAAATGCCCCGAGATTATCATGGAAAGTTATAATATTCGTTCATTTTCCCTGAAGCTTCAAGTTAAGCTTATCTTGATGTTCGAACACATCTGCTAGGTATGATACTCTCTTCAACCACTCTATGTCGTTTTAAGTATACCAAAAAGTCTTGTTTCCTTTGCACTTCCAAGAACAATTTGATTTCAGATTTCAATTCAAAAACACAACAACAATTCGTTTGACAGCCAGCGTACTGTAGTGTAGAGGAGCAGAACCTCGTGATCTATATTAATGTTTTTGCTCAGTTCTTTGAAGGCTCCAGATTTTATATAATTTACGACTTATACTAGCAATGGACTCTTGATGTCGATTGGTTAGGGCAGTGGTTAGGGAGCTAAATCTTTTCTGTTTTCTGAAAGCCCGATTTTGAGCTAAACATAGATGGCGCGCAATCCGTACAAACCCCCACAGCCGTTCTAACCCATTTTAATCATCCAGTTTCAAAAAAGGTATTTATTTTCTCCATGCTATCTTCACATAAGTGCAACTCTTCTTTGCTATCATCCGCGTGAATATAGACACAGACCAGCAACTGCGA